ATAGTATTAGTAATATTACTACTATAATTAATATCAGTAATATTAGTACTGTCAGTAGTATCATTAATATCAGTAGTATTAGTACTATCAGTAGAATCACTATTATCAGTAATATTAGTACTATCAGTAGTATCGTCAGTATTAGTAATATTAGTACTATTAGTACTATCATCAGTATCAGTAATATTACTACTATCTGTAGTATCAGTAATATTACTACTATCTGTAGTATCAGTAATATTAGTACTATTAGTACTATTAGTACTATCTGTAGTATCAGTAATATTACTATTATCAATAGTATTATTTGTATCAGTCATACTATTAGTAGTAAATTAATTTATAATTTATTTATTACTAATGTTAGTAGTATACTGTACTATTAATAGTTTCAGTAGTATCAGGAGTAACAGCAGTACTTTATTACAATTACTATTAGTAGTACAAAACAACTTTAGCAAAATTCCTTTTAATCCGTAATGCTTTGCACATAATGAGATGAATTTTCCCCCAAAATAAAAAATAACAAAACTGTTAATTGACCCAATGAATAAATTGATGAGATTTATTCTCTAAAAAAAATACCTGAATCAGCTCGTATAATGAACATTCTTTTTTTTACTCTCAACGTTCGCATGCTCGATTATACACCGCAAATTATTTTTCAAGACCGTGACGCTCGTTATCGTATTGAGGATCATTAACAAAGCTTCACAATAAAAACAAAGACAAAAAAAAATAAAATATAGAAAAGAAAAAAAGACAAATCTGACGGTTGTAAATAAAGTTTTACTACATTGTGTATAAAACAGAAAGACTGAAAGAAGAAAAAAAAAGAAGTAATAAAAAATAAATACAGAGCTATATAATCAATATATAGAGAATGGGAGAGCATCGGCAAGTGGGCGGCATTAGCTCTTCCGGGCGTGAATCGTGGCCAAGCCAAACTTTTAATTACCCGGAACTTGAAACGAAGAAAAGAGCGGAAACAGTGGGAGTTCGACCGCGTGAGAAAAGGATGAAAATATCGCCCGGCAAAAGCTTCTCTCATTCCAATATAGACATTTTGAAAGGCTTCTCTTCTATAGCCACCAGGTCGTGGTCGTACACCGGAACTAAAATACTCTTATCCGCGTTCATCGGGGTGAACAAAATAATTCAAGAAAAAGAGAAAAAAAAAGGAATTTGAAAAGAGAATAAGTTTTTTTTATTTATTTTTTCTTTAACAGAATTAATTTGAATCTCGAATTTGCGTTACAATATTTTTTTTCAACTCCAACTGAGAAGAAAATTTCACTTTTTTTTCTGTAGCGGAAATTTTTTTTTTCTTCTATTTTTTACACCATTTTATTTATTGGTGAAAAAAAGGAAATTTTTTTTTTACGTAGGGAAAATAAGTAAACGTTGCCGCCCAACTACACGTGACCTGGATTTTTCAATAAAGTCAAATTCAACGTTACCTCTGTCAGGAAAGAATGAAACGTATTTAATGGATGACAAAATCCATCAGGAGAATAATTTCTTTTTTTACGTATATTTCATATTCTCTTTGTTACAGAATTATGACATTAGTGATTTTATTTTTAATTTTTCATATTGGGAGGGTATTTTTATTGAAATGAGAATTTTTTATTCTGAATAAAGTGAAATTTTCAACTTTTATTATTTATTAATATAAATTTGGTTCCTTTTCATTTTTTTTTAAATTTCTGTTTACAGTAGGAAATGCATTTTATATTTTAACTTTAATTCTTGATTTATAAATTAAATTTTATTTGTTTACAATTTACATTATAGTGGATGCATTTTGGAACGTAATAGTTTTTTTTAACTTTGAACAGAATTTTTTTTGAAACGAAATTTATTTTTCAATTTAATGATATTCAATTCCATTACTTTCAAATGTGGCTTAAATATTTTTTTATTAAATGAAAGACCCTTTTTATCAAAGAGAAAAAATTACATTTTTATTTGCAACAAAATTTCATTTCAACGTTTAAATTAAATTTAATTAATTTTTCTATTGATAAAAAGCTGCTTTTTAAAAAAAAATATTTTTTTTTGTAAAAAAGTATTATCCTTCTCCACATCAAAATGTAATGTTTTAGAATTCATTTTTTTAATTTAAATAAAATATTTTTAATTTAATAATAAATTTATTGATTAATTGATAATGTAAAATAGAATTGGAAATGAAAAATGCTCTTTTACTTAAAGCAACACTTTTCTTCTATGGCTGACTATAAATTGACCTTTACTACTGATTTTGGTAGTAAAAACATTTTCTATCTTTGAGTCTGACTAGTTTTGTTTTTTTTATTTAATATAAATAATTTGTTGTACTACAAATTCTGTATTTTTGTAAATAAATAAAAATAGTCAGACGTTTTGGTTTTTAATAATTTTTTCATCAATAGAATTACAATCAATTTTTTACTATCAATATTTCTATTTATCCAAAATGTGCAATAATTGTTACTTGCAGTGAAAAAATGAATTGAAAAAAATTATTTCAAACAAATGAATATTTGATTTTTAAAATTTATATTCGTTTGCTAGTCATAAAAAACAGTTTAGCTTTTTTTTAAAAAGTATTTTTTTTATTGTCGACAAAATTTACTGGTTAATTTTTAAAATTAAACTTTATAAATTTGAATTTTTTATCCTAAAATTTTCATTTATTTCAATAAATAATTTTCGCTCAAAAAACTTTTTCCACTTAAAGGATTTAACTTTTTCCAATAAATAATTTTTACTCATATTAAAAAACAATTTTGTTCATTAAACCAAGCTTAATTAATTGCATTTTATAAAATTTTTTTAATTTAGAATTATAATTTATAATTAAATAATAAATTGTTGAAGTAATTAATATTTCAAAATTAAATTTAATTCACATATAAAATATAAAAAGGTTTCTCTACTTCAATATCAAATTATAATTGGTTTTGTTTTATTTAAAAATATCCCGTGTAGAAATGGTGGTCGGGTTCTAGTGGGGACCTCACCAGTTTACCCCATTTGAAAAAGGGCTCCAACTAGAGAAACTGGTGGGGTTCTAGTCGATTTTGTCACGCTCTAGTTGATAGGGCCCCGACTAGAAGTTCTAGTTCACTTCTACCGGTTTTAAAAATTATTATTTTTCAACTTAACTTATTTATAATTGAATTCTCCATTCATATTAACATTATTAATGATTGTTGCACACGAAAAATCTCGTGCCTATGAGGGTTCGAACCTTGGACCTTGGGGACACCAGACGGATACACATACCTCTCGGCCATGATAGGTTGGATGGACTTCCGCTTAAAGTACATCCCGTTTGGAAATTCCGCCATTTGTCCCTATCTCTAGTAGGGCTCTCGCTAGATTCTGACTAGAATCTCTAGTCGAGAAAAACTAGTCGGGTTCCAATCTAATTCTAGTTAGATGATTCTTACAAGCATTATTTATTAAAAAAGTTTGCATATTATTTGATTACTTAATTTTTTAATTATTTAAACAAAATCTTTTATTTATTAAGTAAATTAAAAAAGAATAAACCATAAATAAATATTAATTATGTGGATATAATTAATTTTTATTAACTAAATATTGTAATATATTATTTATTATTATATTATTTATTATTATTATTATTTATTAAAACAATTATAGTAAATATAAAAATATAAAAAGTAATGTAATAAATTAGTTATGTTTAATTTTTCAATAACGTTATAGATATAATTAATTCATAATATTTTGAATTTTAGGGAGTTATTATTCATCACTCTTATTTAACTCTGCATTCCTAATGATAGTTAATAATAATTAATTATGACATTATTGAAAAATTAAACATTACTAATTGCAGTGCTTTTTATATTTACTATAATTATTATAATTATATTATTCAATTTATTATTGTAATTATAATATTATAGCATCTTTTTAATTATTATTAAATACTTGCATTAATTGTGAAAAACATTTTAAAGTATAATTGCACATACATATCTTTTTAAAAAAAAATTATTTTTACGAATAATATTACAATATTTAGGTAATAAAAATTAGTTATACCCACATAATTAATATTTATTTATGTTTTATTCTTTTAATTTACATATTAAATAAAAGATTTTTATTTAATAAAATTGCTTTATTGGAATTTTTTGTAAAAATATTCTACAATATTTAAAATTTTGTTTAAAAAATGTTAAAAAATTAAATAATTAAATAATATGCAAAATTTTTTAATAAATAATGCTAGTAAGTTTTTCTATCTATTAATCTGAATTATTTATATCTATAGAAAGATAATTTATGTATGTCATACTTGTACACTAGTTTGTCTAGTTTGAAATCGATAAGGTCCTAGTGAGTTTTTTCCAGTCTGAATTATCTAACTAGAATTTGATTGAAGCCCGACTAGTTTTTCTAGACTAGAGATTCTAGTCAGAATCTAGCGAGGTCCCTACTAGAGATAGGGACAAATGGGGAAATTTCTACACGGGATAGTTTTCATTTTCAAAATAAATTAAATTTTTTAACTATAAATTTGATTTCTGTTTTTTATAATAAAAAAAATATTTTTATGTACATAAATCATTGTTGTATTAGACTTTTATAACTAAATTTGAAAAAAAAAAAATTTGAATTGAAACTAATTAAATTAATCTATTAGTAAATACAATTTCAATTAGGTTTGAATTTCTAATGAGAATTTTCATAGCAGAAATAAGTGAATTGTTTTGTTAATTAATAGAAAAATAAACTAACTGCACAAGAGATAATTAATGTAATTAATTAAATAATAAATGAAATTAAATTAGTCAATAATAAATATAAATACTAATTAACTTAAAAATTATATTTAAAAATATCATCTCCATTAAACTGGGGGAGAGAAATATCAAAGAAATGAAGAATAATAAAAAAATATGTAAAAAAGATAAAAGATTTACACTTTATCAAAAAGCATTCATAGGTCGAAATTTGGACAGGTCATAAGTTACTTTAGCCATCAATCCGTTTCACGTTTCCAACTCCCCATTGTACGCATTAAACCACCACACGATGACGGTCATTGGACATTGCTTTCAAATGATGCTTCGAGTGTAGTTTCCTTCCGTTGAAAAGCTGATAACTAAACGAGGAAAAGTCCTACGAGTTATTGTCCAACTATTTTTTTTTATTTTCTCTTTTTTTTTTGTTCTATGTGCCATGAGTGTAAACCAACAGTAAATTTTCACGTGTGTAATCGATACACGCAATATGAAACTCGTAAAAAAAATTGTTTTTTGTTTCCTCCTGTATTTGTCAATAATCCCTTGTAAAATATCAATTTCAAAATTTGTCTCTCGATTTCACGTAAAGTTGGAGAAGTATAAGTTTTAATAAAAGTTAGTTTCGATTTAAATACATAAATAATTTCCTAGGATTCCAGTTGTGTTCTTTTTGGATTTTTTTTATAAAATCCAAAGAATTTGTTTATTATTTATTCAAAAATACACTGAAAAGTTCTGCGGTCTTTCTCTGTTTATTAATTAAATATTTTTTATTAAATGCTTGATTTACGAATCTGTTTTAGTAATGGTAACTATTATTTCCAGGAGGAAAATATTTCTTTTTTTTATAAAATCAAAAATTCTATGATACATTTTTTGGCGAAACAAGTTTCTATTTTCGGATAAAGTTTACAATTGGTTAAAAAATTATTAATAAATTGTAAACTTTAACCGGAAATAGAAACATTTTTTTGTCTAAAAATGTATAGTTAAAAATTATTAATAAATTGTAAACTTCAACCGGAAATAGAAACTTTTTTCGCCAAAAAATGTATCACAATTTTTTATTTAAAAAAAAAATTATTATTTCCCTCTAGATATAATATTTGACTGATACTAAAACAGATTCGTAAATAAAACAATTAATAAGTACAAAAAAAATTGCAAAACTTTTCACGGTATTTAATCAAATAATAAACAAACTCTTCGGATTTCATAAAAAAATACAAAGAAACAACAGGAATACTAAGAAATTATTGTATAAAATAATTGCGTAAATAAAAGAGATTTTTTAACCAAAATGAAAAAATGGGCTATAATTTATTTCTTATTTGAAACTATAAATGTTTGTTAATATTCTAATATTTGTTTTAATTGGTAAAAGTTTTGCACATTTCGAGGAAAGGTAAAAGGAAAATTTAAAGTTTTCATCAAAATGAAAAAATTTTTCTCTCATATATCCTGGGGTGGAATTATTTTCCAGTTGAAACTACTGAAATTGTTTAATATTCGCGTATTATAATTCAATGATTCTTGCAGTCTCACCTCTTATGAATTACATTTATAAATTAAAAAGAACATCACAAGAGCACGGCACTTTTTTTTATTAATTTTTTTTCAAAACACTTTTTCTTCTATCTAATCTTATGTTATACCGTAATAAACAATTGAAATAAAAAGAAAAATGGTAATTTTTATTTTTTCATAATTTTGAAAATTGCGAATTCACGTGTGTACGATGCTTTTTTTGACGTCAAGAAAAAGCGGACTACTTGCGCGAAAGTCAAAAGCATACTGATCCTTTGAATCACACGCGCCACCCCCTATGTTGCAGACTCCCTCGAACGAGTAATTCCGACACTACACCACGTTCAACCACCTCCAAGTTCAGCGCACTCGATCTCTTTATGTGTATATGTATATAGTAGTGTACAGAAGCTGTATATATAAATATAATACAGTATATGACGCCCTATGTTGAGATAATGATTAATTTTATGTAACATGCGCCTAAAGTAGTATTTATGTTTTGTTTTTGATATAACATTGTTTCTATTCCATTTGCTTGGGAATTTTGCGGTTTCATCGTTTATTTTCAAAAAAACATTTATCTTCATCTTTCCTTATTTTAATATTTGACGTCTCATCGGGATTTATTTCTTGACGTGCAATATTTTATAAGTATTTGATAATGCTTACTTTTTTGGGTTTTTTTTTTATTTTGCTTCTTTTTAGGGTTCCGTACCCCGGTAGGAACCCTATTGGAACGGTTACAAAAATGACCATGTACCCCCCCCTAGCACTCACAGTTTTACACCTAGAGAGCTAAAATTTCGTACACGTATGTATTTTCACGCGTAGATTACAGGAAAAATATAGCGAACGTGATTGGGATTGATCTTCATAGAGTTTTTTTTCATAGAGTTCGACGAAAAACATCAAATTTTGGCCATTTTTCGCAAAAAAAGGCATGTACCCCCCCCCCCCTAGCGCTCACAGTTTTTTACCTAGAAAGTTGAAAATTGGTATGCATATGTATTTTCAAAAATGGATTAAAGGAAAAATATAGCGAACACATTTGGTATTGATCTTCATTCTGTTTTTATCAAAAAAGTCAAAAATTTTGAAAATTTCGAAAAAAATACATGTATCCCGCCCCCCCTGGCGCCTACATTTTTTTACCTGGAGAGCTGAAAATTGGCATACTTATTCGTTTTTACGCATAGATTACAGGAAAAATATAGCGGAAGTGATTAGAATTTATTTTCATGGCGTTTTCATCGAAAAACTGAAATCTCTTTTTGCAAGCTCGAAAATTCTTTAACCCTTGCTGGTTCTCTGAATTCTTAATCTAGTGGACTGGCGTTATACATTTTTATTTATTTTTTCGTGTGGATTTCAACAAACATTCAGAAAAAATTATTGGAATTCATCTTCATATATTTTTTTGCGAAAAACTAAAAAAAATTTTCGTTTTAAAAAAAGTGTGTACCCCCCCCCCTTGGTTTTCACAATTCTTGGCCTATTGGACTGCAGTTTTGCTTATTTTATGTATTTTCGTGTGTAGATTCCAGGAAAAATATAGCGAACATGATTGGATTTGATCTTCATATTATTTTCAGCGAAAAACTCAAAGTTTTTAAAAATTTCGTCAAAAAAGCGTGTATTTCACCCTAGCACTCAAAGTTTTTTACCTAAAGAGCTGAAAATTGGTACACTTTTGTATTTTTACGTGTAGATTACAGGAAAAATATAGTGGAAATGATTAGAATTGATCTTCATTCCGTTTTGAGCGAAAACCTAAATTTTTTTTTTCAATTTTTCATAATAATAATTATACCTATGCTAGTTCCCTCAATTCTTAGTTTAGTGGACTGGCGTTATATATTTTTATTTATTTTTTCGTGTAGATTTCAACAAACATACAGAAAAAATTATTGGAGTTCATCTTCATATTTTTTTTTGCGAAAAACTAAAAATTTTTTTCGTTTTAGTAAAAAAAGTGTGTACCCCCCCCCCTTGGTTTTCACAATTCTTGGCCTATTGAACTATAGTTTTGCTTATTTTATGAATTTTCATGTGTAGATTTCAGGAAAAATAGACCGAACATGATTGGATTTTATCTTCATATTTTTTTAGCGAAAAACTCAAAGTTTTTAAAAATTTCGTCAGAAATGCGTATTTTTTACCCTAGCGCCCACAGTTTTTTATCTGAAGAGATGAAAATTGGTTATTTATTTATTTTCACCTGTAGATTACAGAAAAAATACAGCGAAAAATATTGGAGTTGATCTTTATATTTTTTCATCAAAAAAGTAAAAGTTTTAAACTTGGGTACGGAACCCTCGGTTTTAGTACGAGTTCTACTCGCACTTGTCCTGTTTTTTTAAATTTTCTGTTCTTTCAAGCTACTATTTTTTTACCCTTTTTATTTTTATAATTTCTTCTTCTTTTTCTTTATTTTTTATTATTTCCCCTGAATTTTCTTAAAATTTTTCAAAATTCTGTTTAATTTTTTGCATTTTGTTTTTCTATTCGTACTACTTGTTTTCTTGCCTTTCATCATTTTACAAAAAAAATCATTTTAAATGTTAACCCTTTAACGACGAGATGTGCTACTTTTGAACATGAATTTCAATCTCTTACAATTACTTTTTACAATTACTCTTGCAATTACTACTATTTTTGGGGTCGCTCTTTCGCATGTTGTGGTCAAAATTTTCAAAAAATGATATTTAACCCTTCTTTTTCAAAAATACTAAAAAAGTCAAGTTTTTTTAATGTAATTTTTTTCAAAAGAATTTTTTATCCCACATGCACAAAAACGGCGCTTTCTGATAGCAGCCGACAGGGAGGAAAGTCATTCATTTCTTCGACCGTATGAAAATGGCGGCCGTGTTCTCCCAAGGGCAAGAAAATTAGCTGTTCACATGCATTTTTCTTACCCAAGGGAGAAATCGGCCGCCATTTTCATACAAATCGAACAAGTGAATGACTTTTACTCCCTGTCGTCTGCTATCTGAAATCGCCGCTTTTGTGCATTAGGAATAAAAAATATCGTAAGTAACACGAGAATAAAGGCAGCCAATTTCTTTACGCTGATTTTTGTGACCCTCGTTCCGGTCTCGGGGCGCCTACGGCGCCCTCGACCTCCACTCGTGTTACAAAAATCACCGTAAAGAAATGGCTGCCTTTCTCCTCTTGTTGCTTAATATACTATTTTTCTCTGTCATAACGCTTTTCAAATAAAAGTATCAAAAACGTGTTCCCGATAGTTGTACTTGAAAAATATTTATTTCTAATTTTTATTTTTTTCGATTTTGAATTTAAAATGGCGTTTGAAGGACAAAAAATTTTCCTTATTTTACGTAAGACGACAAACTTTTTCAAAATTGCTCAAATCTGATTGAAATTTGTTACTCGGGGGTTTTCGGGGTCGCTGATTACGAATCTGATATCAGATTTTCAAAATTCAAAATGGCGGATCCAATATGGTGGATGAATTTTTAAAAAATTGATCGGATTCGCTTGAAACTCGTTACTTGGGGATTTTCGGGGTCGCTGGTTACGAATCCGATGTTAGTTTTTCAAATTTCAAAATGGCGGATGTTATATGGCGGACGAAATAAAAAAATTGTTCGGATTTGCTTGAATCTTGTTACTCAGGGGTTTTCGGGGTAGCTGATTATGAATTTAATATCAGATTTTTAAAATTCAAAATGGCGGATTTTATTACTTTTTTCTACTAATTGTAAGAGATTGAAATTCATGTTCAAAAGTAGCACATCTCGTCATTAAAGGGTTAATATTAATTTTATAAAATTTTGAACATCACGGAATATTGTCTACGGATTTTTATGAAAATTACACATTTTTTCAGGTAAAAATATTTACTTTAAAATGAAAATAAAGTTGATAAAAGAAATTAATTTTTAAATAAAAAAATATTTAAAACAATTTTTTGTTTATTTACTCCTCTGTGAGAAAAATTTTATTAGCGACCGGATCCA